AGATTAATGTCGAATATAGTTTGAACAACCTCCATCACGTTCTAGGCACGAAGTTAAGGTAACGAGCTAGCTAGACCTCCTCTTTCATTTCTTTTGAGTTTTGGATATCTTAGTGTCATAACCGGATTGCTCCATTAGTACGATATTGTCCGCTTAGGGCCAAGCCCGCACAGTTTTACTCTGGAGTGTCCTCCCCAAAAGGCCTCGTACTAATGAGCTTGGTGGACACTAATATACAAGGGTTCCTTTCCTTGTGTTTCCGATGTGGTACTTGGATTGTCTCATAACAATCCTCTCCTCAATCCAAGCATCACGAACTTCGTGTCCTCACCCTAGCGATTATCTTGATCCGCCAGCCACTTTGTATCGATGGGCGTTTCGGTACAAGGACTTTAGCAAACGCAGCACTCTCTTTGATCTGCTTCCAAAATGCGGAACTCTTTTGATCTCCCAAGCCCGAACGTGGATCTCTCCTGGATCCACCAAACAGATGCGAATCTCAAATCCCAAGGTCACCGAATGAGGGCCCACCAAACTGACGTCCACTACCCCGCACCAAACCAGGCTCTGATACCACTTCTCCTAACCCGGATTGCTCCATTAGTACGATATTGTTCGCTTTGGGCCAATACCGCACGGTTTTACTCTTGGGTGTCCTCCCCAAAAGGCCACTTACTAATTGGGCTGGCGGACACAAATATGCAAGGGTTCCTTCCTTGTATTTCCGATGTGGTACTTGGATTGTCTAACAATCCTCCACTTAAGCCAAGGACCACGAACATCGTGTCCTCACCTCAACGATTATCTTGATCCGCCAAACACCTTGTATCGATGGGCTTCTCGGTACAAGGATTTTCCCAGGCACAGAACCTGGCTCTAATACCACCTATCATAACGGGGGTTGCTCCATTAGTACGATATTGTACGCTTTGGGCCAAGACCGCACGGTTTTACTCTTGGGTGGCCTCCCCAAAAGGCCTCGTACTAATAAGCTTGGTGGACACTAATATACAAGGGTTCCTTCCCTTGTATTTCCGATGTGGTATTTGGATTGTCCCATAACACTTGGTTATATTTATTTAGAGTGACGATCAGAGTTATTGAATTAATGATTGTAACGAGAAGGAGCTAACGAAAAGTTCTTCATGCATGGCTTGACTAAATTAATAGATGAATGAGTTAGTTATTTTTCAATATGATTCGTATTATAGGAATAATTGTGACGTGATGGTAGCTATTAAATTTGCGTATGTAAATTAAATATGGCTAGTGGTGTAGTATACGTTAAAATCACCTACCTACGATTTAGCATGTACGGGATAAAAATGACCTTTTAAATTAATATGTAGTTATGTAAGAGATGGGTAAATAGTTATGTTAAGATTATTAATTAATTACCTTGTAAAGTATATATTTGTGGATTAAAACGAGAAATGGATCTTACTAGCATGCATTATTTGAGTATATATATATATCTATAGTTAGTAATAATAAAGGTAGTTCGTGAAGCAATTAAATCTAGGATGCATATGAGGATGAGTGTGTAATCTTTTTAGTTAATTGTAGTAGGGCGATGAATTAATTGTGGATTTTTGCGTATATGTAAAGGAGAACATAATGGCTAATGATGGATGTAGTACGAGTTCTTCAAGTTTTAACCAGAGGATCATCGTAAGCATTAGAGAACAGTTTAATTTGTTGATACTTTATGGTTATAATTTTAAAATTGGAGATTCGTTTCTTTTGTTTATTTTAAGAGTATGATTTAAGTTTTTCCCATGTGTTTAGGGCTTTGTCTTGAATTATTAATTTATTTAAGTTTGGTAATTTTAATCATGGTTATTTTATTTGAAATGTTTTTAAATATACTCCGGGGTGGAAATGTCATTTCCAAGTTTCAAAGTAGTGGGATGTTTCACAATCAAACAAAGTAACATACTTGCAAGAGCTACTATGTGAAAGAATTCATATATTTCTCACCTGCCCTAATAATAGTATTTAGTTAGGTGGAGTAAGAAATAATTCTAAGTATCAAGGATAAAAAAAATTGATTAGACATGATTAAGTTGGTTAAGTTTTTAAGAGAATCAAGGATAAAAAAATTTGAACCGTTCCAGTTTAAAAACGAAAACTAAGAACAAGTTGTCCCTCCTATAAAATGATGTCGTTTACCAGAACTAGATTTAATAAAAATAGTTGTAATAAAATAAAATAACATGTGTATCTTACAAAGCACTGGCATGCGTAAGAACTTGTCTCCATCATTTCTTGTTGAAGTATAGTAAAGGGCCCTAACGCTAACACTTCTATTAAGTCCAAACATATATATCATGTTGGACCGTGTTGTACATATTTTAGTCTTGGAGGACTTGTTTGTCATTTGTACTAATTGCCCTAGCTATCTACGTGAAGGGTATATTAGTGCTGTTTTGTTTTCCTAAAAACCTAAGACCGCGGAAGCTACCAGGCGGCAATAATAATAGATCAGCCGAGAGCGTTTGCTCTCCGTGGAGTAGTCTCGTTCATATCGAACGGAGAACCCACGTTAAATCGTTGTGTTGTGTGCTTCCGCTTTACGTTATTTTACATGATATCAGAGTTGTGATCCATTATTGAATCCGCAGCCATGACTACTGGAGAGGATGGCAGTTCAGGCGGAAAAGATGTCGTCACCGGCGTCGATACTATCCCGCTGACTTCGCCTCTCTATCTTCATCCGTCAGAGAATCCGGGCCAATTATTTGGGAGTGACCTTCTGACAGATTCCAATTATGGCGAATGGGTGAACGACATGACCGAAACCCTAATCGCGAAAAACAAAATGGCGTTCGTTGATGGTAGTCTACCCCGTTCGAAAGCTGGACCCGGCATACGGGATGATGCTTGGGCTAGATGTGACGCCAACGTCAAGGGCTGGCTCAAGATAGCGATGACAAAGGAAGTGAGAAACAGCGTCCGCAGTGCCCGGACAGCCCGTGACATCTGGGTAGATCTGCAACAGCTGTTCGGCAAGGGTTCGGCCACCAGAGCTTATGAGCTTCGCGGCATGATTACTGCGTTGCGTCAAGAGAAGCTCTCTGTGTCCGCTTTCTACACCAAACTCCGGACTACTTGGGATGAACTTCAATTAGTCACGATTACTCCACGATGCACTTGTGGAATTGTTCTTATGATGTTGCGCGACAGACCAGGGAGAAGGAGGAGACGGAGCGGCTCTTCGACTTCCTCCTTGGCTTAGATGATGCCTTCTCAGTAGTTCGATCTCAGATTCTGAGCATCAAGCCTATTCCCTCTTTGGCCGAGGCTTACTAGCTTGTTGAAGCTGAGGAGCAACAAAGGCATATCACCAGCGGTAGGCGACCGCAAGTTGACGCGGCGGCTTTTCAGACTCATCTCGAGAAGGACAGCGAGGACGACAAGCCTGGATGTGGACACTGTAATAAGCTCGGCCACACTAAAGAGACTTGTTACCGCCTGATAGGTTATCCGAATGATCAGGGAAAGAGCCGCCAGAGTGAGCGAGGGCCAGGTGCGAAGAGAACCAAACCCGATGGGAAATCGCAACCTAGGGCAGCCAATGTGGAAAGTGAGGACAGCCCATTTCCAGGCTTGTCTGCGGCTCAATTTGCTCAACTGAAGCTTATGTTGGACTCCGCACCGGCTCCGGCGCCGACCCCCACTGCTCATATGGCTGGTAATTCTTCTGAACTATGTGAAAGGCTCATTGATTCGGGTTGTAATGAACACATAGTACGTGATTCTAGTTGGTTGGACAAATTGGAAACCAGAGGTCATCACACTCCGGTTCGCATCCCAGATGGGACGAGTATACCGGTTGAAGGGATTGGTTCGGTTATTCTAAATGGTCATTTGCGTCTTGAACGGGTCCTTTATGTGCCAAGTTTTAAGTGCAATCTGCTTTCGGTTAGTCGTTTGGCCAAGGATAACGACGTGGCTTTGGTTTTCTTGGATGATCTATGCCTTATTCAGGACTCACACTCCAAGACTACGATTGGACGGGGTCGTCTTCATGATGGGCTATACTACCTCCGGCGAGAGGGGGAGCAGCGAGGTGATATAAGTTCTCCTACGGTGTTCGCTGGGGCTGCAGCAAGGCATCGACGAGAACGTGGCATATGAGGCTTGGACACCCATCTTTTGGGAAATTTAGCATTGTGCAGAACACTATTTCTTTGTCGGATTCTATTTCTAAGAGGGAACATTGTGATTCTTGTCTTCGTGCTAAAATCACCAGAGAACCATTTGTTTCACATACTATTAAGACACAAGCTTGTTTTGATATGGTTCACATGGATATCTGGAGTGGTTATCAAACCCCGTCTCTTGATGGCTCTCGATATTTCTTGACCATTGTTGATGATTTTAGCAAAGCAACATGGGTTTACCTCCTCAGGTTTAAGTCAGACGCCGATCGCTATGTGCGTCTCTTCTGCCAGATGGTTAAGACTCAGTTTGCTGGTCAGGTTCGTCGCATTCAGGCTGATAACGGTTTGGAGTTTCAGACTAAGGGATTGCGAGAATATTATGAACTGCAAGGAATCATTCTGCAGACTTCATGCGTCAATACACCCCAGCAAAATGGAGTTGCAGAACGGAAACATCGCCACTTACTTGAGACGGCGAGATCACTTCGTTTCCATTCTGGACTCCCAGTTCGCTTTTGGGGAGAGTGCGTACTGACAGCCACCTACCTGATCAACAGAATGCCGTCGAAGATCCTTGGGAACCGCAGTCCTTATGAGGTTTTGCTTGGACGAGTCCCAACCTATCACCACTTATGCACCTTTGGGTGTTTGGTTTACACGAAGGACACTAGTCCCCACTTGGACAAGTTTGATGACAGGGGGAGGCGTGGTATATTTGTTGGGTACCCTGGGTCACAGAAAGGGTATCGAGTTTATGATGTTCGTGCTCAGAAGATCATCACTTCTCGTGATGTTCACTTCGTAGAGGACCAGTTTCCATACAAGGTCACTGACATGGTGACTGACTCGCCTCGCCAGGAGCACCCGATCGTTGGCCTTGATGATGCACGTGAGGAATCCTTGCCGGACATGCCCACCATGCACGCAGACCACGACGACGTTGATGAGCCCGACGTTGGTCATCATGAGGAGACTGAGACAAAGGGGAATGGCAGCTTACCTGCTAGCGCGAGTATCAGTGAAGCCGCCGATCCTCCCTTGCGGCGCGGCGCTCGTAACCGGCGCCCTCCGCCACATTTGGTCAACCTGTATGACACTGAGTTGGCAGGCACCTCCGTGGAGGCTTCGGCAGTTCACTACCCTATCTCTAACCAAGTAAGCTATCACTGATTCTCAACGGAGCACAAGGCTTATCTTGCTGCCATTGAGAAGATTGTTGAGCCTAAGTACTTCTCCCAGGCCATTAAGGATGCTCGCTGGCGGGCGGCAATGCAGGGGGACGTCACGGCCCTTGAGGCGAACGGGACATGGGAGTTGACTTTCTTGCTGCCCGGAAAGAAAGCAATTGATGCTAAGTGGGTCTTCAAAGTCAAGTATCGGCCTGACGGTTCTGTCGAGCGTTTTAAGGCCCGAGTAGTTGCAAAGGGGTTCACCCAGTTGGAAGGTATCGACTTCCATGATACCTTCGCTCCAAATGCTAAAATTGTTACGGTTCGCGTGCTCATTGCTATTGCAGTTATTTGCGGATGGCCGTTACATCAACTGGACGTTAATAACGCCTTTTTACACGGCGATCTTGAGGAGGAAGTTTATATGAAGATGCCTCCTGGTTTTGGCGAACCTGGTGATACGAGGTTGTGCCGACTTCGCAAGTCTTTGTACCGCTTGCGGCAGGCTTCGCGAAATTGGTACCAAAAGTTCACATCGGCACTAGCGGAGCTCGGTTTGAAGCCTTCTAAAGCTGATCATTCGCTTCTCATATATAAGCGTAAGAACATATTTGTTGCTGCATTAATATATGTCGATGATGTTATTTTGACAGGAACCGATCAAGACTTCATTGCGAAGGTCAAGGCTTTCCTGGACGAGAAGTTCAGCATCAAAAACCTAGGTGCCCTGAAGTATTTTCTTGGGATAGAAGTTGCACGGTCTGATGATGGCATAGTCCTAAGTCAGAGAAAGTATACTCTGGACATTTTTGACAGACGCCGGTGTTGCAGGATCGCGTTCGAGCAGATTTCCCATGGAACAGAATCACGGTCTCACGCGCCCAACGGATGACGTAATTTATGACATCTCCGCTTACCGTCGACTTGTGGGCCGGTTACTGTACTTGACGGTCACTAGGCCTGACATTTCATATGCCGTCAACATCCTCTCGCAGTTCGCCAGTCGTCCTAACTCAGAGCACATGAATGCAGCCATGCGCGTCCTGCGTTATTTGAAGACTTCCCCCGGTCAGGGTTTGTTCTTTCCGGCAAGAGGCTCGCCTGACCTCACAGCATATTGTGATGCTGATTAAGGTGGTTGTCAGCTGACTCGGCGTTCTACGACAGGTTATTATGTTGTGCTGGGTGGTGCACCAGTCTCCTGGAGGACAAAGAAACAGAAGGTGGTATCTCGCTCCTCAGCTCAAGCGGAATACCGCGCGATGGCCAGCACTGTAAGTGAGGTTTTGTGGTTACGTTTTTTGCTTGCAGAGCTTGGAGCACCACTGTCTTGCCCGACGCCACTTCACTATGACAACCAGGCAGCCCTTCACATTGCTGCTAATCCAGTTTTCCATGAGAGGACGAAGCATGTCGAGATGGATTGCTACTTCGTTCGTGAGCGGGTAGTCTCTCACGAGATTTCTCCCTAGAAGATTAGCACCTCCTCCCAGCTCGCCAACTTATTCACCAAGGCTTTGGGCGCTAATCTGTTCCATTTCCTCTTATCCAAGCTTGGCATTCGTGATCTTCATGCTCCAGCTTGAGGGGGAGTGTTGGAACGTGTTGTACATATTTTACTCTTGCAGGACTTGTTTGTCATTTTGTACTAATTGCCCTAGCTATCAACGTGAAGGGTATATTAGTGTTGTTTTGTTTTCCTAAGAACCTAAGACCGCAGAAGCTAGCAGGGGGCAGTAATAATAGATCAGCCGAGAGCGTTTGCTCTCCGTGGAGTAGTCTCGTTCATATCGAACGGGGAAACCACGTTAAATCGTTGTGTTGTGTGCTTCCGCTTTACGATATTTTACATATCACTCTAACAAAGATGAGTTTCCTTATAATACAAGAGAAATGAAAGTGGATACGTGTGTGTATGTTATTTGGACAAGTATTTTCTGAAAACAAAAGAGACAAATGGAATAGGGTTCCTTTATCTGGGTGTAGCAAAGCAATTAAACTGAAACATCACTTAGGACAAACTATAGTAGAAGAGATAACGTACGAAGGCTAATTCCTTTCCTGTTTCTCACACAAATATCAAGTTTAGAGTCTTCTTAATTGGAATAAAGCCGGACTTATGTGTGTATATATATGTCGAACAATAGCATTTCCATATAGCAAAAACATAAACTCACAGTTGAAAGCATAAGGAAAATTTTCTTCAAGCAACATACTAAAGAAATTAAATATATATATATATCCATGGCTTCGAAAGCTTGTATTCTTTTGTTCTTGTTGTTGGCTGCTTGCTTTCTAATCTCCGATGGCGCTTCCAGGGTCCGACTCTCAACAACCAACTCATCACCGCTCCCTTCCATAGTTAGTATTACGTTAGAATTATAATAACCATTACATGCATGCCTGCAATTTCCTCCACACCACTCATCTAATCAGCCTATAACACCCCGACGGTTGGCTTCAAGTTCGACCGTAATAATGAACGATTGGATTGACGATTACGTTCGAAGAGTTGTAACAATGAATAAGAGAAAATCGCAGTTACGTTGGCCAAAGTGATTGGGTGATCAAATTTCATCAGGAATTCGCGCCACGATGATTGTATAGTGTCTATCAATCTGCAGACATGCAATTAAGTACTCCAGAATTAATGACCTTGGAAGATTCAAGGAAGGAAGGAGAATGACCGGTCTTTATTTTCTTTTTTCCTTCCTTCTATTACACCATCTTGGCATCTTTAGTGAATGGTTCCAGAAATGGAAAATTTGAGGCTAGAATTCGAAATCTACCCTCTCCAAAAGTGTTTTTGGGAAGTTTCAAAAGTCCAAATTCCAGAATTTGACATTAGCTCATAATCCTGTTCAGTGTTGATTTCATTATTCTAATTACAAAAATTTGGCTTCAAAGTTCGAGTCCATTTTAGTAACCAGTTCACGTACGGAATTAAAATGTAGTTAAGTTGGCCAAGTGAATGGGTGATAAATCGACGAGATCAATGTTGAATATAGTTTGAACAACCTCCATCACGTTCTAGGTACGAAGTTAAGGTAACGAGCTAGCTAGACCTCCTCTTTCATTTCTTTTGAGTTTTGGGTATCTTAGTGTCATAACCGGATTGCTCCATTAGTACGATATTGTCCGGTTAGGGCCAAGCCCGCACAGTTTTACTCTGGGGTGTCCTCCCCAAAAGGCCTCGTACTAATGAGCTTGGTGGACACTAATATACAAGGGTTCCTTTCCTTGTATTTCTGATGTGGTACTTGGATTGTCTCATAACAACCCACCTCTCAATCCAAGGACCACGAACTTCGTGTCCTCACACCAGCGATTATCTTGATCCGCCAGACGCTTTGTATCGATGGGCATATCGGTACCAGGACTTTAGCAAACGCAGAAATCTCTTTGATTTGCTTCCAAAATGCGGAACTCTATTTGATCCGTCAAGCCCAAACGTCGATCTCTCCTGGATCCACCAAACAGACGGGAATCTCAAATCCCAAGGTCCTTGAATGAGGGTCCACCAAACTGACGTCCACTGCCCCGCATTGAACCAGGCTCTGATACCACTTCTCCTAACCGGGATTGCTCCATTAGTACGATATTGTCCGCTTTGGCCAATCCCGCACGGTTTTACTCTTGGGTGTCCTGCCCAAAAGGCCACTTACTAATTGGGCAGGGTGACACTAATATACAAGGGTTCCTTCCGTGTACTTCCGATGTGGTACTTGGATTGTCTAACAATCCTCCCCTCAAGCCAAGGACCACGAACATCGTGTTCTTACCTCAGCGATTATCTTGATCCGCCAAACATCTTGTAACGATGGGCTTCTCGGCACAACGATTTTTCCAGACACGGAACCAGGCTCTAATACCACTTATCATAACCGGGGTTGCTCCATTAGTACGATATTGTTCGCTTTTGGTCAAGCCCGCACGGTTTTACTGTTGGGTGGCCTCCCCAAGAGGCCTCGTACTAATAAGCTTGGTGGACACTAATATACAACGGTTCCTTCCCTTGTATTTACGATGTGGTACTTGGATTGTCCCATAAAACTTGGTTATATTTAATTAAGTGACGATCGGAGTTATTGAATTAATGATAGTAACGGGAACGAGCTAAAGAAAAGTTCTTCATGCATGGCTTGATTAAATTGATAGATGAATGAGTTAGTTATTTTTCAATATGATTCTAATAATAGGAATAATTGTGACGTGATGGTAGCTATTAAATTTGAGTATGTAAATTAAATATGGATAGTGGTATAGTATACGTTAAAATCACCTATCTAGATTTTTTTTTTTTTGGTAAAAACACGAGCGCAGAGAGATGTTCAGCCCTTAGATATTAATAGTACGGGGGTTTGTAACCCAAGCAGGTCGAAGTACAGCCAGTGATTTAAAATAGAGCTAGGGATGTCCACAATCTGGATCCCCACAGGAATAGAATGTCCTACCGAAGCTAAGTAATCAGCAACATAGTTTCCTTCCCTGAACACATGCATGATATGAACCTCCCATTGCTGGTTCAGCTGCCGCCTGATCGAGTTTACCAGTGTATGGTGGGGATGAAGAGTCTGATCACCTTGAAGCAAAGCAATGGTTGCAGCCGAGTCTATCTGAACAATAAGCTTTCGGACTCCTTCGTCCCACACCATTCTTAAGCCGTAGTTGATGCCAGCTAATTCCGCATGAGTTATTGAGCCACCACCAAGGTTCACCATAAAACCTCTCACAAAGCAGCCTTCATCACTCTGGAGCACTCCTCCCGCTGCTGCACTTCCTTGACTGAGCATCACTGATCCATCCATGTTTAAACAAGCCCGCCCCTGGGTCGGGGCTTGCCAGCCAATCATCCTAGTCTCCCGCACCGATCTCCCTCCTGTAACCCGCCCAATATTAGTGAGGTTGGTATCAACTGAAGCTGTCAAGTAGCGCACCCTTTGAGCCATGTGAGCTGCTGGTATTAACTCTTCCTCAAATAACCACCAAGTCTTGTTCTTC